GTGAGTGTGTGTGTGTGTGAGAGTGTGTGTGTGTGAGTGTGTGTGTGAGTGTGTGTGTGAGTGTGTGTGTGTGTGAGAGTGTGTGTGTGTGAGTGAGAGTGTGAGTGTGTGTGTGTGTGTGAGTGTGTGTGTGTGTGAGTGTGTGAGTGAGAGTGTGAGTGTGTGAGAGTGTGTGTGTGTGTGTGAGTGTGTGTGTGTGTGAGTGTGTGTGATGTGTGCAGTGCTGTCTGTGATGTGATGATGATGTTCACTGCAGCAGAGCGCCGCTCTAACGAGGCTTCACTTCTGTCGTCTAAGTCGTCTTCACCTCAAACTAGACGTCATGTCCACAAATGAGCATCCACCCACACACACACACACACACACACACACACCCCTTTTTGGGTTTTTTAACGAGGCGATATATAGTCCTGAGCCAAAGTATTCTATTCATGTGATAATGAATGAGTGTTGCAGCGTTTGGATCCTGTTCCTTTACTAGCGATACTATTAGCGACAAACAGCAGCAGACCTGAGGACAGAGTCGAGTTAGCTGTTAGAACGCCTCAGTGCCCACGAGCAAGGCACCTCGCTGTCACATGGGTCGGTTGAGAAGCTGAGCAGAAGAGTGAGAGTTATAAACAATAAGTTTATTCAGGAGATGTGTTCGTACCCTGCACGTCCGTAACTGGAATAATGGAATAAAACATGACGACACAGCTAATAACGCTTTTGAGCCCTCCGGCTCTCCGTAGAGACACTCTGGTGAACGCTTGTTCAGGATCAGTTGACTTTATCTGTTCTGTATTTAGATTTGGTTTACAGTCGACGATGAATCCATCTTGACGTGATGAAAGTACTCCAATAATCACACACTGCTCCAGTAGAGTGATGAAGTGTTGCTTCACTCGGTGCCTGATTCTCAATTCACTACAATATTTATCAACTATTTACTTTGACTTTGTTTAAATCATCTATAATGGTGATTTGCATAAAAACGCACAATTCAAATAGTATTGTATTGTTATTGATAAAAACATCTTATTATTACTGATGTATAATAATGTTCTTAGAGCTCGTGTAGGAAGCTAAACAGCTCATAATTCATCTCTAATATATGTTTTATATTCATGTGAAAACATCTTCAAACTACTGGATTTATTGTAGTTCATCACCAACACCACATTTTACAGATGACATTGAACTCGTCGTGATAACTTTGAGGTGAAGTCCGAATAATAGCGGAGGGGGAGTGAAGCGATCGGGCGTACACGACGACCACTCAACACAGGCGGAGCTCAGACCTTCATCCCGAGCTCATAGTAACAATAGAAGCAACACGGACGCTCTCGTGTTACGGTACGAAGTGAGTCATTGGTGCAGCTGATGCACTGGAGGCTCTGATGAGCAGGATGTGAATCATATGTGAAGGCCTTTCTGAACACATACTGTACATCTCCATCATCACGTTTCTGGCTTTTAATGCAAGTCAATGGGACACATGTAGAAGCTCCTGAACACAATCCTGCTGTTGGCTTCATCTGTGAATGTGCAGATGAATGGAGATTACTTGGACACACATGGACTTCAGTGGGATTCTTCTCATGTTTAAAACATGTGCGGAGGCTCAGAGGAATATTTGAATGTTTATTTATCGAATGCTGAGCGTTGCATCTTTCTTTCCGCCTGTGTAATGTTTACACCTGGGAGCTTGCTGGTAGCACCACGACCCTTTAGCAGAGACCACTGGTCCCAGTGCCTTACTGATGCATTATAGCTTTCAGAGGAGTCAGACTGGAAACTAAATCCACTGCAGGAAAGTCAGTAAAATAAATTAAACCATTTCTGCAAAGGATAATATCTTGGGAGAGTCCTACAATAATAATAAATGTAATTTAAATCACGTATTCTAAGAAAGATGAAATTCATCACAAAATTCTATATTTAAGTACATTATTCAAATACATTTAAATCCTATATCCATCAGTATAAATGAGACTAAACGAGTTGTGAGAGAGTTTTTGTAAACGGATGTTTTCATAGAGTTTTGCTGTTTACTTCATTTCATGAAGACTTTTCTCTGTTTGTTCTTTTTATTCATCGTGAGAGAAAAACAAAGTTTTCTTCAAGAATTGAAGGTGACAGCAGAGAGAGGCTCTGATATACAGGAGCTCAGGCTCTTCTTTAAGGTGAGAAACGAGTGGATTCATTGATGATTAAGATCTGTGAGGCTTCTAGTTAAATGCTAACATGCTGATGTGTTACTGGTTAATGTTCACCCTGTTCTCTCTCTATACCTGATGAGTTAGCATGCTAATGTTTGCACTAAAGGCTGATGGAAAGGTATTTGGTCATAAACCAAACCAACAATATTGATGATGACGGCGCTAGACGAAAAGTTAAGGGGTCAGAAAAGTTCTTAAAATGAGTGATGAGGGGACTGAGGATTGAAATAATTATCTTGATACCCGCTAGATCGTTTTGAATTGTTCTTCAAACGTACCCGAGTTCAGAGGGAGTTTCACTTTCAAAAGAGAACCACAGCGCTGTCGCTCTGATGCTAATGGTTCAGGCGGCCAAGAGAGCATCTACATTAAACCGCTGCCTGGTGCCAAGTGAACGGATTTACACTGGTGTTCAGGGAGGAGCGCTAATCAGAGCTGCATTCACACGAGAGCAACTGGCAGCAATGAACCAGGAGAGTGTGTGAGCGTCCCACTGATACAAAGTTACTCTTTGATCTAAAATGTGGATAGTTATGAAATAAAACCAGTTCTGTATATGTTTCTGTGGCCTGTTGGACCAGTTTGTACGAAGAGTAAATGCACCAGCAGTTCATCATCTCCCGTTTATGGCCCATAGCATTGACTCGCTGCCTCATCTGGTTCAGCCGAGTCATTGTTTGTAGTGAAATGAGGGCTGCAGCGTTGTACCTGCTGGAGCTTGAAATCATTCCTTCACTTCCTCTGTTCATCCCAAAAAAAATCAAAACGTGTCCGTTCACAAGGCGGCAGAGCTGCAGGTCTGGACTCTGAGTTCTTCTGGGAAACTCTTTCAGAATGAAGACAAAGAGCGTTCCTGTTTTTAACTGTCGAGTCATCATGAAATCAATAGAGGGACGTTCTCCTAACAGCTGAACTGCTGTTAAATGTCACAAGAGCACGACGGCATCTTGTAGGGAAAACATAAATTACGGAGCCGGGGGAATATTCCGTAAATTTACAAGAAAGAAACTCACACATTTAAGCAAAAGAAAGAGTGAATGCTCGCTGAGATTATGGTAAAACATTCTGAATAAAAGTTGTTTTTTTTCGTCAAGGAAGCACATCGCTTCACGTTTTAACCTCATCCTCATCACACACACACACACACACACACACACACACACACACACACACACACAC